TGCCTCCCGCCAACCATCCCTCGCCCTCTCTCACTCACTTACGTTTGGTATTTCTATCCTTCTTTTGCAGCATACGCTCTTATCGTAGACATCATACTTGAGAGAGATGCTGCAAAAGCTGAACTCCATTCGCCTTTGGGCGATGGAAAACAAGGGAATCCACCAGCCTGTGTGAGCGAGAAAGATCACTAGAGAGAGAGTAGAGAAGCGTAAAACGAAGAAGGATAGAGTGAGTGTAGCTCGTAGGCGCGTGTGCGTGTCGGCGTTGGTGCGGATGCGGGTGTGTGTACAGTGAGAGAGATAATCGAATTGAAATGAAATGCGGGAAAGGGAAAGAAGGGAGGACGATAGCTTGAGAGGTTTTGGTGAGAGCAACAGAATCTTAAACCAACTATATATATATATATATATATATATATATATGCATACATGCATAGTGGACAAAAGATAGCGATAGGCGTTTTTAGCACATTTTTACTCATAAGGTCGTGTTTAATGAAAAGAAAAGCTCTGTTAAATATATAAATAAATAAATATATATATATATATATATATATATATATATATGTATGTATGTAAATATAAATTTATGTGGCAATATAAATAAAGAGAGTGAAATGAGGTCAAAAATTTCTTGGCACTGGTAATTATTTTAAAAGTTCCATTTTGCTAATTGAAATTTACAGAACCTTTAGTAGAGGATTAGCAACTTTGGCAATTGTCAAAATAGCTCTCCGGATGGAAAACAAGAGTAAGAAAAGAACGGATTGGAATGAAATAGAGAGTGTATGTGCTTGTAGCACGAAAGGCTTAAATAAGAGGAGCGCTGTACGAAGCATTAATTGCTAGTTAAAAGGAAAGTGAGTGGTGCATTTGTCAGATCTAGGGAATTCGTCGTGCTTGTGTGAGCACACGTAATAAGACCGACGAACTTTGGCCGGTGTGTGTGAGTGCGGGCGTGTATGGCGGGATGTGGGGCGGGGGTGGTGGTAGCGAAAATTAAACCACCCGATGTGCAAGAAAGCAGAGGGCTCGCATTCCGCTCTTACCCCCCCCCCGTTGCAGTAGGGCTCTGGTTAGTGCTAATAATATGCCAGCAGCGTTATCGCGCGAAAAAATGCCGCGATCCGGATTTCCCTCGACACGCGGGGGCAAGCGCGCGCACACGTAGTCGAGAGGGGCTGGTGCCGGTGGGGCGTGCGCGCGTGCGTGCGGGGGCGGGGTGGAGGCCCACGCACGGGAGGAACGGCGCGCGCGTAACGCCGCGGAAAACCCGGCCGAGGCCAGCCAGTATCGGGCAGTCCAGTCCGCGGGATGGAGAGGAGCCGACGACGCCGACGCCGTCTCCGGTGAACGCGCGCAAGGCCTTCGACCCCCACTCAGCCGACGGTTCACCCCCGATTCCGAACGATCGGCTTTCTCTTCTATCGCCGCGCGCTTTTGAAAAAAAAAGGTGTGTGATGTGACACACGCGGCACATTCGATCGAGACGAGCCGGAAACGTCGAAATTGAAGTAAGCGGCCGGTGCCGCCTCACCCACACCACTAAATCAACCACTCGAGAGTATTGGTGAATCTTGCTGGTGCTGCTGCTTTTGCTTCTCCTGCTCATTGTGTGAATAAACTCCTGCATCAATAATTATATATTTAAGAAATTTACAGTATAGTTTTCATTTCTGCTTAACATTGTATTTTTCTCATCTCCCATTCTCCGAACTTTCTCCATATAATTCGAGCTCTTTGTTCCATGCTCGTTATCAATATTCATGCCATCCTCGTCATCGAAGATTTAAAAATTAATACTTTCATTTTCTTGAACAATGATTTTTGATGTCTTAAGCAACACGCATGCATTAAAGATTATTTAAGAAATAATTTTTCTTTTCTCTCTCTCTCTCTCTCTCTCTCTCTCTTTTTTTTTTTTTTTTACCACTGTCATGTTTTTATGTTGTGAATTTGTTAATTATTGTATGAATTGCGATTAGGTTATTAATAAATGAAAATAACTACGTAATCCTTACGTATTGAATGCGCACGTAAACGAAGTTGAAATTTACAAAAAAACAGAAGCAATTAGTCTATATAGTTATGACAAGCATTTATATCTTTAGTTTTATTCAATAATATTAAGCCATGGTTTTTTCTTCCTTTCTTTTTTTACTTATGTTAGTTACTACATACTATTTTAAGCAAAGTAACGTGAATCGCGGGGAAAGTGTACATACTTATATCTGCGACTAGACAATTCTGATGATGTCTTCGATAAATATTGCCGTGTCCTAATAAAATATGAAGGACGGTGAATCAGTAAGGGGATAAGAATGTTCTAATATCATTGCTTAGAAGTAAATTGTCACTTTACTTTAAAAAGTCCCGAACGACAAAATATGTGAGATCAGCGATCGATCCTTTTCTCACTGCATCTATTGTCTGTCAAATAACATTGGCGCGTCTCTTCCTCACAATCTCATAAGTAATGTAAAATGCAATAATTAAAAATAATCTAAACATCGTTAAATATTGATGTATACAAATGCACGCGTACGTGTGCGTGAAGGTAAGCGTGTGTAAGTAGGAACGAAAGATCAAATAAAGTAATCTCTTTCGTAATTTCCGTCCATGGCAGAGTCGAGTGGAGTGTCATATCTGACAACCAAAATGACGTTGTTTTAAGTAACTTGTATTTTATATTTCATCTGCATTAACAACAATGCTCGTCTATCTTTCTCTCTCTCTCTCTCTCTCTCTCTCTCTCTATATATATATATATATATATATATATATATATATATATATATATATATATATATATGCGTGCAAAGCAAGATAAGCTATAGTATGCGGTACCAAGCGTAGCGACTTATTGATCCTTCGGTCTTCGTCCTTTCTTCGCCCGGTTTTCTAGCGCGTTTACGTGACATTTTAAAACGGGAGATAGGCGCGACGGTCGCCTGCGAACGCCCATAAGTAAATTGCCAGGCGCTCGGCGTTAATGGAGCGCAAGAGCCGTGGAATGCGTCGGGAAGGAGGCGATGGCCGCGGAGACGACGCAGCCGTTGCCACTGCCGCCACCGCCGTCGCTACCGCCGCCGTTGTCGGCATACCGGAGGAATGCGCGCGTCCGCCTGTTTAGCCAGCGAGTGCACCTAACCGATTGCACGGATCTTAACCCCCTCTGACCTTCTGCTCCGAGTGGCGAGCCACCGACTAAGATAATGGCCTCCTCTACGTCCCCGAATTGTGTACGTCTCCCAGCAGCTGGGACATAATACTTTTCTCACATCCTCCTCCTCCTCCACATCCTCCTACTCCTTCTCTTCCTCCTCCTCCTCCTTCTCCTCCTCCTCCTCCTCATCATCATCATCATCATCATCATCATCGTCGTCGTCGTCGTCGTCGTCGTCGTCGTCGTCGTCGTCGTCGTCGTCGTCGTCGTCGTCGTCGTCGTCGTCGTCGTCGTCGTCGTCGTCGTCGTCGTCGTCGTCGTCGTCGTCGTCGTCGTCGTCGTCGTCGTCGTCGTCGTCGTCGTCGTCGTCGTCGTCGTCGTCGTCGTCGTCGTCGTCGAATCTTTCGCGCTAATAATCAATGTGCCTCGTTTGTCGATGATGAAAATAGTTTTCCCAGCAGCAATGAATTCATTGCTTTTTTTCTCGCGATTGTTAATAAAGCTGTGGATTTTTCAGCATTAAACGACGGTTCAGCGCTTGATCGAATACAATCGCTTATCTCGGCTGCATTCAAATTTATAATTGTCCAAACTATTGATGATTATTTGTGTGTAATTTGTTGTCACGGTAGTCTAATTTGACTTTGCCGAAAGCGTGTATATAATTTGTCATTGTCCGCTTAAATTTCCCCTCGTTATTAAAAATATAATTCTCTAATGGAGTTTGGAGATGTTTTTTTTTCTCCCTTTAGCCTCGTAAATTATCTGGATAAAGATTAATTTTAATTTAATTTGTTTAGCCTTAAATAAACGTCTAATTATTGAAAGTATCCAAATTAATATTATACTATGCTTTTCCCGAACATATATTCGAAAGTTATTAGACGTCGAAGCCATAAATTACTCCTTATTAATTCCTTCTTCCCTGATTTTATATTATTATCCTGGTTTTATACATCATTTTAAAAAAGAATAGAATAAAACATCTTTAATTTCAGTGGTGGTGTATTGAGCATTACATTTAGCATTTATAATAAACATGATTTTTGTTGTTGTTGTTGTTGTCGTTGTTATTGTTGTTGTTTAATTTATCATTATTTCGCTTGTTTATTAATAGCCGTTGAAGTAATACAACTGCATGATTTGGATTTGTGATATTAATGAGATAGAATTAATATATTATAGAATTAATAACAAACTAGTAACCATAATAAAAATCTGAACTATATTAATGGAGATAACTTGCAAAAATTGACTAAACTGTGGTATCATTATTTATTATATAGCGATAGTAACTCTTAGTATTATTGTAACGAGTATGTGTTATCTGTTTCATTTAATTCAATGGACATTGTATATGGTACAAGAATAATTTTTTTTTTTTTTTCTTCGTTTAGGCGTAATGGATTTTCAGTGAGACTTAAATATTCGTCATTAAAAGAGCACAATATCATTGAATATTGTTCAATATGGTGAATTTCGACAAACTGTCAGTTTTATAGAAATTCTTGGCAATAATGTCGCATTATTATAATTCAAATCGATAAATTAATAGCGCGCGAGTGCGCACGAGTTCTTCACAATGCGTTCCTTAAAAAGCACAAATATAGTTCATAATACTAAAGGCATTAACTACCGACGCAACATAATATTCAATAGAGAAAACACAGTCGGAAACGCGCGCACGCGTACATAGACGCAGGCTCTCGTTTTCAAAATACTAATCAGCAGTAAATAAAAGTTATTGGTGTTAAGCACGATCGAGGCATGGATACGAGATGGATACGGCAATCGGCAAAAATTCATCGTTCATTTTTATCATCTCTCGTTGCAGAGCAGCGCCTATTGGCTCGAGATGGAATCGCCTTCGGCACAACAGCTAGCCGCCGAGGCCCAGGAAGACTGTAGTCCTGTGGAGGTGTTGCTTCAAGATGCGACGGAAGAGGATATTTTGCCAATCCAGGACGGGGGCAGCTTTGCCTTTCTCGATGATCTGACGAGCCACTTATCGCCCTGCGTGCGACTCGAGCAGTTAACCAAACAAGAAATGGGCGGCTACGCGTTCAAGGCTTCCGTCGAGGAAGATCCACTTAGGTAATTATTGCCGCTTTATTCTATTTACCTCCCACCCAACCAACGCCGGCAATTAATTGTTGACGAGGCGCAAGGTCGATGAGACCTCACCTTTGTTTTCACGTGCGAAATTCGGCGAGCGTTCAAGGAAGGTGTTGGTTACACTCACACGTCTTAACCATTAAATTAATGTAATTTGATAATTGGCTTGGCTCTTGCTTAGATTTGAA